CAATTGCTCTATAGGCCACTATTATGAACCAATCGACGCGAAAATTTATATGGAGTTAGAGCTAGGAGTGGGCAGACTATAATTAGCGGGTAAAATAGACCCTAACTTTTATGTAAGAAAATATGAAAATTTCCACTAAACCACGAATATTTTCAATCCCAGCCAAATCACAAATACTTTCAAATATCACTTCTGACCATTTCAGTGATGCTAATAGCAAAGAAATCGGATATATAGCAAAATAGGTACAATATATATGTAAAAGAATTGATCTTATTTATTCTGCTTATAAATCAAGAACCGCTGGGCCGATTTTCACAATTCTCATCAATTCGAAATGGTCTCTTGCCAGAAAACGTTAATATCTAAGAAAATCGCGGGAAAATATACCAATAAAAAAGTGAATATCTTTTGTCGATTTTTTTCAATTTTGTCATATTTTTTATTATGCGATTTCTTAAATTTGACTTGCAATTTTGAATTGTAAATTTTCTAAATTTTTACACCCCCAACACTACGCTTTGAGGGTATTATATGCATATCGCAATTATCGTCCGAACCTCACAAAATTTTGCATGCGGTAGGGTTAGGGTCAGAATTAAAGCCTATTGTTCATAAGATGTACATTGAGGTGCAAATGGATTAAAAAAATTGATTTTTTCTAATTTTGTAGTCGCTGTATAGGCCACAATTGAAAACTAATCGACACGGAATTTCGCATCAGAAGAGACTTAAAGACAGGGAAGAAGTCTAGCTTTTTGGATGACCGCAAAATGGACCACAATTTTCGTGTGAAATTGTTTTGATTACTTAACAACACTGCGGAGTGCGTAAATATTGGCCAAATACACCGGGTCAAAAAACTAAGGGTAACCTCTGGGCGGGGCTCTTTGACATTATTTCAAAAACTAAAGCTTTCACAATGGATTTGGATATAAGGGAGCTTCGAACATATTCTAGTTTTGTAGGGTATCACATGGTCGACCCCGCACGACTATAACCTTTGCTTACTTGTTTTAAATTAAAATTTTAAGTTTTTCCCCTCTGTTTTACCACCTAACTTCTATACATAAACTTCCAATTCCTGAAAAAAATTTTCATTTCAATGTAGTGTGGGTACAATGGCTGGGGGTTTTTCCACTTATGGCACTTTTATGTTTTGTTATTAAACCAACTGAACAACTAACATCTAAGAATGATTTAATCCTACGTAAAAAATCAATGAGCCTTCAAGTTTTAACGGATAATAGTATTTTGAATCCACCCCCACACTTTATTTTTACATTTCATCTTAAAATGTGTTAAAAAAAAAAAAAACAAAATAATTTTGTTTATAAAGCCACCCAATTCCGCGCATGGCTGACGGTGTTGATAGACGAAATTTGATATTGCTTGGTCTGCTGGCCAGACAAGTGCCAGTCAATCGAAATCAAATCTGTAGATTTTAATCACTCGATTACACCCGCACCGTAAGCAGCCTCTAGAAGCGCGGTTAGTTCACTGACCAGCCTTGCTCCTCCGAGTGTGAATCGAAGTGGCTGCCTGCGTGGTTGTGTTTGTGTACGTAACACTTATTGAAAGATGTAAATCATGGAGGGTGCTGCTAAGGAGGGGTATGAAGTGAACTTTCGCACTTATCATTCTAAAGGGAATTTATTGAGGCACACTTTCGGATTATTTCAAGTAAATGATGGAGCAGAAGCAGCAGATAGCGTTAAATACGATCTGGGAACAAATGAAGTGTAAACAATGGAATTGAAGGCAGTTCACTTTCATAGAATACGGGTAATTTATTCAAATTGCTGCGATTAGATTCGAAGCCTGATTATACGGCTTTATTATATTAATACATGCATTAAGATTTCAGATGGGTGGTTGTTGAGAATAATTATGGAATTAATTGAGATTGGCAATAAAATAAAAATGATAGTAATACCCATACCAGTCTGTGTAGGAGATATTATGAATTTGTTTTCAGCTAAAAAGTTGAAAGTCGAAATCCTACATATCAAAAACCGATCAACATAATTTTTATTGAGTTTGCATACATTCTACAGGTTAAAACTATCTGCCGGTCGACACAAACTAATGCGAGATATTAGAGTTTGGGACAACCGTTTCGAGTGTGGCCCAGATCTTTATGTTGCGGATGAAATGCACCAGAACTTTTGCGTGGAAAAAACCAAAATATGCTGTCAATAGTAAATATTTTTAATATTAGAGTAATTTCCAGAGGAGATGCATATACCCAGCGTACCTAGTGTCGGACGCCTGTCAAGTCCGCTCAAAGTCGGAAGTTTTTTCCGACATGTCTGGCCGACGTATCTCAGAATTCTGCCTATTTGTCGGAAGAATTTTTTCTCTCTTCGATAAAATTTTGTGAAAATGTCATATTCAATATTCAACTGTCATTACTGAAAAATAGTTATTGCTATTCCTACTTGCTTTTGCCATTGCATCATGACAGTTGTTGTAAATACAGGGTAAGATAAAAACACTGCAACCAACTTCTGACTGCTGTCATTTTCAAGCCACTCTGTGACAGCTCATTATATTGTTTACAGGCGGACAAAAGCATTTTGGTGAGAATTTTCCAGAAAAAAAGTTATTCGTGATGGAATTCAATCGTAATAGTGTCATTTCTTCATATTTGGCTGAAAAACCAGAAGTGGCTATCGTTAGAGCACTCCAGAATTTAAATGTGAAACAAATCGTTTATGTCCTATACCATCGTCAAGGAAGTTGACGGAAGAAAACAGCAACATCAGCAGAAATGCTTCAAAAAGTAAGGAAGGGACTTGATCGAAACCAGCGTCGCAGTGGCCGAAAAATGGCTCGTGGTCTGAACATATGGTAATATTCCATTCGGCAAATATTGAAAAATGAGCTCGCGGTAAGGCCATTGAAATTCCATAAAGTGCAAGAACTTGCTCCGCATCAGAATAAAAATAGACTAAAAAAAGCTGAAGAGTTGCTTCGCTTGACCGAAAGTGGTGAACTGCCGAATTTGGTTTTCTCCGATGAGAAAACATTCATTGTCCAGCAGTTTGTAAACAAACAAAATGAATGATGATCGTTTTTACTTGCCAAAGAGGTCAGCTCAAAATGAGGACCTTCGGTTGGTGGGCCACCAGAACTCAAGCGCCGGCCATGGTAATGGTGTGAGCCGCCATAACAGCCGATGGTCGCTCTCCGCTCGTATTAATCGACCGTGGCATCAGAATAAATGCCGAATATTATCGCGAAAATATTCTGGAGGGTGTATTAAAGCCTTGGGCACGCAAACATTTTGCCGCAAACCTTGGACATTCGAACAGAACTCAACACCATCGCACTCAGCACGCGCCACCCAAGAATGGTTACAAAATGAGGTTCCTCGCTTCATTTCCAGCGCACAATGGCCACCAAAATCTCCAGATACCAATCCGTTGGACTATTGTGTCTGGAGTATTTTGGAAAGCAAGGTTGACACTAAAAAATACTAAAGTGTCGATCACATCAAGCAAGCGCTTCGCTGGGAATCGGCCAAAATACGGCAGAGCAAAATTCGGGCAGCGTGTGTTGATTTCATTGGCCGTTTGAAGGCCATAATTCGTGGTACCTAAGAGAGTTGACTGACATATTATGTTTTCATTCTTGCTTTTACGTAAGCTTAAATGTTAGAATTACTTTATTGCCAATCGGATATTTATTTCATATTTTACGAAATTTATTATAACTCAAAGTGGTAAACTTCTGTGTGGAAGGTATGAGAAGGAATGAGATTTATCCTGCGCGGAATTAGAATGCAGAACGGTCGGAAGGAAAACACGGAGGTGCCGAGATCGACTCCAAAAACAAAGAGATACCAGGGTAAAAAATTGTTATTATGTTAGTCATAATACTGAGGGTATAGTCATATGATTCATTTTTTGGGCATGTTAATCTGTTTGTCAATCTTTGATCAGGCGCTAAGATTTTTCCAAACATATTATTTAAATTTTGTTTTTTTTTTCGCATATATTTTTACTAAGCCTTCCTTGCAAAATATAGCATTTTTTAAAAATATTCCTTAGCATGCCTTGGATTCCTTATTATTTTTCAAGAATAATCTTTCAATTTTGTAGATTGTCAACAAAATACTGTGCAATCCTTTTAAAACAATATTTATCTCAACATTTTCTAAAGAGTTTCACACACATGACACTGAGAAACAAGAAAAACATTGTATTTAGGTAATTGGATTGGACATGAATTACATTCGTATTATCATAATGTATTTTGTACTTCTCATCAACATTCTACAGAAGCACATACCATCCTTTACCTTTCATTTCAATGTTGGAATGTTTTCTACAAAAAAAAAAAAGAAACATTCCTGACCGGCAGCAGATCCGCGTAATTTAATGTACCCTTGTTAAGCTAAATAATAGAGAGCAGATACAACAATCATCAACGCTTTTAGCTATTTCGAAGAGTGCAGTAATTAATTCATTTAATTGGAATGCCATCCACTCCTCGCCTCCATTTACCTTCGGGCTAAATCTGTCATTCTCGCCTGCTACTGCGAGCGGTGATCATCCATTCATTATGCTACCGAACAGAACAGAACAACTTCAAATGCAAAGCAAGAAACGCAAAAAGGAAACTGCATAGTCGAATTATCTCTACATTCAAATCTTAGAGGTGCAAGAATGCGACGACACTCGGACCATCCGAAGAGTTTCACACCTGTGAGAATTTCACGGAGAAGGAACGAACGACACGACAGCTTAATTACATTACATTTTAATAAATACAATTGCTGCCTTGACAGCTAGCCTCAACGGCTCACGGCTCACGGCTCGGTTGCCACGGGTGCTCCTACACACTAAGGCACACACACACACATCCGTCGCACACAAGGAGCAGAAGAGATCGACCACTGGCCATGCCAAGTGTAAACGATGATTATAAGGCAGATACCAAGAGATGGAAAGGGTAAGGGGGGTATGGGGGATATAGGGAAGTCATCAACATACCTGTCATATTCTCGATTATCCTCGTCACATCGGGCATCCTGCAATTCTCGCCAACTTTTGCCATGACGACATGTTGTGACCAAAATAATATCACGGCCATTATGCAAATGGAAGAGGGAATTACGTGTCTCCGAGCCAATGCCATGCACGTACCTGAAATTTACAAGAAAAGAAGAAAACACACACACACAGTTAAACTTTAGTTTAGATGTAAAAAAAGAGACAATAAAACCAAGAAGAGGAAGAAGAGACATAATATTAAGAACAAGATAAAACGTTATCAAATTAAAAACTTGTAGAAAACAAAAGACAAAAGACGACTGACACACCAACGACGCAACAAGAAAAAAAAGGTGCCAAATTCCAACAAAACATGCCATCCAAGGATTCAATCCAAAAAACAAAAAAATAACAGAATACACAGCTTAAAAATACGAATGATGGCCGCCCTCCCCCCCTTTCCCATCCACCCCGCCAATGACAAGTCAAGAGAGTTGCCTCCCCCCTCAATTGGAGAATTTTAAGCGAATTAGCTTTTTGGGCTAAACTGTTAATTGGTCAGCGCCTAAGTGGCCACGTTAACATTGTTATTTTGTTAACATCTAAATAAGCGGAAGTCCCAAGGAAGGGAAAAATAAAACAAAAAACTTTTGAAAAAAAAAAACATTCTTAATCATATTAAATGATTTTCGGTGTCCTTTTGCGATGTCGATCTAATTTGGAAAATATGCTTATTAGGACTCAGTTTTGTTTTTTAAATTGATTTTGGACTGTAGCTCTTAGCAGGGGGCACAAGGATACGTCACAGTATCTGAACGTCACTAACATTTTTTACGACGTATAATACATACGTCATAAAACTAGCCAACTAACACGTTGGAAAGTTTCTGAAGGCGTACGAACTAGATATATACTATTCAGATTTAACCATGTATTTTTTTAATGTTCTCCTCTTTGGGAAATGTCTATATACTAAAGCAAATTTTGCAATGTGTGCAAATTGAAAAGAAATGGGGAATAATTTCTCATTTTATGAGAGTTATGTATATTAAACATTCTGACACATCTCCATGCGATACCTAATGATATCTTATTGGGATCCCAATCTAGTTCAATCGAACGAACTAGTTCATTGTCTAGTTCAGTTGACTCCTGTCGTTTGTATGAAAACTACGCGTATGAGTGATATGAAATATATGACTAAGATTACTCATACGTTTACGAACTGAAAATCGAACATTTATATCCAGTTTTATGTGAAATCATAAATTCCATATTCATCTCAGGTTTCGGGTTGAGAGAAATGTTTGGATATAAAAAGTTGTAAAAGAACGTGGACTTGTTTCGCAAGTTATGACAGATAAAGGTTTCGAAAAGTGCTACCCTTTCGTGGGTGAGGTACCAGAAGGGGTTCACAGATATGCAGAGTGAGATGCAAAAAAGTGCAACCAACTTCGGACTGCTGTCATTTCTAAGCCACTCGTCCAACATCTGTTACAATTACTCCAGTGACAGCTCATTATATTGTTTACAAGCGTACAAAAGCATTTTGGTGCGAATTTTGCAGGAAAAAAAGTTATTCGTGATGGAATTCAAGCGTGATAGTGTGATTTCTTTATATTTGGCTGAAAACCACAAGTGGCTATCGTTAGAGCACTCCAGCATTTAAATGTGAATAAAGCTTTTGTGCCTCGTACGATCGCTCGTTACCGTGATACTGGTAGCGTAGCCCGACGTCAAGGAAGTGGACGGAAGAAAACAGCCACATCAGCAGAAATGGTTCGAAAAGAAGCGACTTGATCGAAACCCGTCGTAGTGGCCGAAAATGGCTCGTGAACTGATTATATCGCAATATTCCATTAGGTAAATATTGAACAATGAAAAATGAGCAAGAACTTACAGCGCAACAGAAAGAAAAAAGACTCTAAATATGTAAAGAGTTGCTTCGCTTGCCCGAAAGTGGTGAACTACCGTATTTTGTTTTCTCCGATGAGAAAACATTCGTTGTCCAGCAATTTGTAAACAAACAAAACGATCGTGTTTACTTGCCAAAGAAGTCAGTTGAAAATTGGCACCTTCGTTTGGCCATCAGAACTCAAGCGCCGGCCATGGTGATAGTGTGGGCCGCCATAACAGCCGATGGTCGCTCTCCGCTAGTATTAATCGACCGTGACATAAGAATAAATGCCGAATGAAAACGCAAACTTTTCGGCAGCAGACCTTGGACATTCCAACAGGACTCAGCACCCTAGCACTCAGCACGCGCCACCCAGAATGGTTACAAAATGAGGTCCCTAGCTTCATTTCCAGCGAACAATGGCCACCAAAATCTCTGGATACCAATCCGTTGGACTATTGTGTCTGGAGCATTTTGGAAAGCAAGGTAGGCACTAAAAAATACCAAAGTGTCGATCACCCCAAGCAAGCGCTTCGCCGGGAAGCTTCGGCGCAGATCAGCGGGGGAGCGTGTGACGGTTTCATTGGCCGTTTGAAGGCCATAATTCGTGAATAATTCGAAAAAATCTAAACTGATTCTAAAATTTCTTTGAGCGTTTTGTTTTTCCAAATCTTGAACCCTATGTGGGCCAGGTAGCAAAAGAAACTGACCTATCTCTACCATCTTTATAACAGATCTTGTTTCGATGGAAATATTGAGATGTACCAAGTCTGAATTGGTATCGGATGTTAATTTCGCTTTTTATGAGCTTCATGGATATAAAAATTTAAACCGATTGTGGGGAAGTACCCGAGGAAGTGGACCGATATATCCCATCTTCACAACAGATCATGTATTAGTGGAAATAATGGGATGTGTAAAATATGAAGAGAACCTGATTCTTAATTCGCGTTTCATGACTTTTATGGATATTCAAAAATTTGACACTTTGTGGGGGAGGTACCAGAAGAAATGGTCCGATCTCTACCGTTTTTATAACAGATCCTGTGTTGAGGGTAATATTCAGATGCGCTAAGTCTAAATTTGGGAGGTACCAGAAGGAGTGGAACGATATATTCCATCTTAACACCAGATCTTGAGTTTATAAAATCAAACACTTATATTATATTTTATAAGAGTTATAGTTATTCAAAATTTTGTGAGGGAGGGACTTGAGGAGGGAGTGGACCGATATTGTCCATTTTTGCGCCTGACCTAGCACTGGATTTCCAAAGTTGAAGCAAATTCTGTTATTCCTTTCTCTTTCTGTGCAGTAAAATATATTTTTTAAAAAGTTCGATCTTTTGTGGGGGAGGTCCTAGAAGGATTGGACCGATATTGCTTATCTCGAACTCCGATCTACGTTTGACAAAAATATTATAATGTATCAAGTTTGAACCAAATCGGATACTCCATTCGAGAGTTGTTGTGCGCACCAGCCAGACAGAGAGACGGACGGACATCGCTAGATCGTCCCCAAATATCCTGAAACGGATTTGGTTAAAAGAGACCTAGGGTCTAAAACCGTTATTTCGACTAGGCACGTTTTGACCCTATCAAATGACTTATACCCTCTCTAGCCATATGACTGAAGGTATAAAAATACTCTTATCCGTTAAAATTTCAAGGCTCATTGATTTTTTACGTACTAATAAATCATTTTTTGGTGTAAGAAGACGGACTTTAAGTTTTGTACCCTCCACCACTATGTTTATCAATGACATCGTTATATTGAGGCTATACCAATTAGTGGATGGCTGAGGGTGTACAAATTTCAAAAACACTTATTATGACGTAACTTTAGACTTTAATCTTAAAATCCTCAACCGATTTTTATGAAATTAAAATTGAAGGAAGTCTTGAGATGTTGCCTGGATATGCAAAAAACATGAAAATATCTCTAACGGCAGAGATCCCACCTCAAGACAACTATTCGTAGGCGGAATTTTGACTGACTATAGAAAAAAGTTCACAGAACAAAAATGTGGTAACTTTATACGAATATCTCCGAACACATAAGGGAAAACTCCTCCGTATATTTAAATTTCTGTATAAAATTCTAATATTCGAATATTTGTTTATAAAATTCTAATATTTGTTATTGATATTATTTTTCGGCGTTTCAGGCTTAGCGATATGTCGATCTCTCTCTCTCTCTCTCTCTCTCTCTCTCTGCGCATAATTTACTCACTTTGAACTCGGGTGGTTTGTGTCACGGACATACGAAATTTATCGGTATTAATTTAATTGTGGTACCTAGAAAAGGCTATTCTGGACAGACCATATATTCACTCACCCTTGAACCAACACATAACAATTATCTTAGTGAGTATTTTACTAAAAAGATTAAACAAATGTTACGAATAGCAAATTATTTAAATATGTCCTCCGAAATAATAGCAATTCAAATTGAATTCAAGTGTTTGGGTCTTCTACTCTCTCCTCCAACCTCTCACCATCTGCCTGGAATTAAGCTGTATTTAAAGCAATTAAATCTTCGAATAATTACAGTTATTATTGGAATACACCTTTTTATATAATTATGAACCGCAAAAATAATCCACTTGTCAAAGGCATTTGCAAAAACAAAACCGGAAAATGCACACCCACACATAGCTACAACAACGACAACAACAATTTGACTTAAAACTAAAACAAGGAGTAAAAATTGCCATAGAATTCATAATTGATGTGTCACTGAGCGAGTGGAGTGGCTGTGAAATTGACGCATAAATAAAATATTAACAAGCAAGGAAAGAGGGAGAGAGAGAGAGAGCGAGCGAGAGATACAGACAGACAGAATCAAAAGTTTTTAACAAACACTTTCTGTTTTCAAAAGCAGCAGCAGTAGCAGCAACAACAAGAACAACGGCAGCATAGCATTGAACAAACTTTTAATGAAAATCTCATTTGTTTACATTTGGAGATGGAACTGAAGAGCTGCAATGGAATGGGACCAAACTGCAACTGCTGCTGCTGAGGGAGTGGGTGCTCAACATGCTCGCATGCAGCCTTTAATAATTCAACATCCCAAAGTTTCCATTTTGAATGAAATGTGGCAAACTTATGGGGAAAATAAAATTTAGAGTGTTCGAAAAGTAGGTGGCAGTTGGATGTCTTAGTTGTTATTCTTCTTCCGGTGAGTGAAGGGTTTATGTGTGATAAAATTATTATCCACAACCGAAACAAATCTGTTGACGAGATTTACATTTTTTGG